TTTCAAAAGATTGAATTTTATTAATTTTAAGTGTCTACTTTCATTTGAAAAATACTCATCCATACATACCCAAGACAAAAATTTTTTATTCAGCTTACAGACAATGTTTAGTGGGTATGTGGACTCAGTAAGTAAATCACTGACCCAGTGGAATTCATGGTCCACAAATCAGGAACCTCAGACACAGACCACCTAACCAGCAATGAGACTAGAAGGAAATGTTTACTTAAACTGAAGAAGAGGCAGAATTAGACTATTTACTGGTAAGGACCATTTTAGATTTCTACATAGTGAAAAAAAATTCACCAGGACCAAATACAAAAGTTTGGCGTTTTTTGATAAGTTACCATTTCACAGAATACGTCATTTTAGTATATCAGAGCAAAAGAAATAAATTAGACTAGGTCCTGAGCAATAAAAAATGACACAGAGAATATCTGAGATAAATCTGTAATATTTTCTCAGAATAGGATCAAATTTAACATGATATCTGGAGGGACATGACCATCGGGAGAAAAACCAATTGATTATTCAATTTTGTGAAAAGGCACTAATATAAAATAATAGCATTGGTTAAGGAAGTAATGTCAAGCGCATAGTTGAGAAAAGTAAACAACAATAACAAAAATCCCATAAGAAGTCAAAAGATTATATTTTAAAAACTTATCAAAATTCCAGGAGAAAAATGTATACTCAAGATCAAAAAGTGGTTCTTAAATAGAAAGCATTTGTGATTGAAAGGCAAAATAGAAGAGGCTGTCATAGAAAAAAGAAAAAATCATCTTATTATTGAATGGATACGCCTCTGATGCATGAAGTTCACAGAAATCACAAAGTGACAACAGAACTGTTGCTCTGACTTTTCGTGTCTTCGTGCCTTGTCATGTGGTCCTGAGCTGTTCTCAGGAAATTATAAAGCTAAAGAAGTGAACAAAGTGGTAAGGTTAGGATTCAACAACATCCAAGCCTCACAATTCCACCTTTTTTTCCCACATACACTTCACCATATTATTGGCCTGGTCTGGGAACAGAGCATGATTATAATCGGGGTGACTTTACATAGGAAAGTCAGGAAAGACTTTTTCCAGAGGTGATATTTGAGATCAGATCCTTATTATGTTCACTTTGTTTTAATATGAAGCGTATTTTTCTAGTTGTTTGAAAATTGGTGATTGAGAAGTAGTAAGACAAGATTCGCATTTCAGTAATATTCGGTGAACGAAAAAAGTTGATTAAACAGAGCTCTCATTCCCCATCTGTACCACTCAAACAAGCACAGGTTACAAGTGGGTTAAAAAGTTGTATCTCTCAGGATCTCACATCAGCTCTCAGAGCAGGTGTTTAGGGACATCTCTGAGCCGAAGCATTCAGTGGCAAACCAGGTTTCTCATACAACTAAGAAGCCGGTCCACTCTGTGGGTGCTGCCGTAAGTTCTGCCTTTCACCTTTTCTGAGCCAATGCACACCCACAATCAGACAGCTGGGAACTTCTGTATGGCAAACTGACAAAGGATAATCAACTTAGTGGCTTGTACAAGTAGAGTGGTAATGCTGGAAGTCAAGTTTGGCAGTACTTAAACTACAAACCACTTTTCACTTGCCTCAATTCCTGCTGATTGCTCATCGGAATGACTCCCAAAACTCTTGGGAAAGCAACAAGGAAGGTTGCAAAAAAAATTTGTATTGTTAAGGCACTCTGTAATGAACCAGTTCCTTGCCACAGCAACAGAGTTCTGCAATCCAGGAAAAAGCTTTTAATAAATGTTTTGGTAAATAATCTTCACAATGGTCATTGTGTTATTGGCTAAAATGGTGTTGAATAACAAGGTCTCCCCACTAGCTAAAAGGCTTCAAAAGATAAAAAGGCACTAATTCAAAGGAGGCTGTTGTTTTTAATTCCAACGTGTTTCTGAGAAATACACATAAACATTTGCAGCAACAATGGAAAATCTTTAAGCAGACAAATGAAAATTTTCTTCTCATTGTGCATTGAGTAGTCAAATTGCACCCAGTATCATAAAATGAAAGCAGTTTGTTGCTAGGCAATTCCATGAATAATCCCAAACCGGGTTTTAACCAGACTGATGAAAGTGCGCCCCCTTAATTTCTTTTTTTCAGTAGAACACAGTTTTTGCTTGAGCAACAAAATATATGAACTGATCATATGGGAATAGAATTTTGTGTAGCAATAAATAAATCTTACCCCAACACTGACTAATATTTAATGATCTGCATAATTATTGCTGTAATGCATGGAAATCAGATGTAAATGAGATAAAGCCTAGGCAATGATTGCACTTGGCATTATGTTAACACTGCAGGTAAAAAGGAGCTCTGGGATCAGCCTGGGAGAAGAAAGAATAGAAAGAAGCTCTGAACTGCTCCAGAAAGACCTACTAGATTCATGGACCAAATCATGGGTCTCCCTGATTTGAGAAGTGGCATCACTATTGGCCTTTGTTTCCAAGGAGAACGCTGAAGGAGGCATCGTTCCACTGGTTTGTAGGTTTTAATATATTTGTTAAAGGTTAATCAGGTAATTTGGTAGTTACATCTGATAATGAGAAACTTACACCTTTCATGTTATTTAAAAACAAAGTAGGGACTTCCCTGGTGGCGTAGTGGTTAAGAATCCGCCTGCCAATGCAGGGGACATGGGTTCAATCCCTGGTCCAAGAAGATCCCACATGCCGCGGAGCAGCTAAGAACGTGCACCACAACTACTGAGCCCATGTGCCACAGCTACTGAAGCCCATGCTCTGGGGCCGTGTGCCGCAACTACTGAGCCCGCGTGCTGCAACTACTGAAGCCTGCATGCCTAGAGCCCATGCTCTGCAACAAGAGAAGCCACCGCAATGAGAAGCCCACGCACCACAACAGAGTATCCCTGCTTGCCACAACTAGAGAAAGCCCGCGCACAGCAACGAAGACCCAACACAGCCAAGAATAAATAAATTTATTAAAAAAATAAATAAAAACAAAGTAAACAGATATATAATCATACTGAATTCAAAGGGAATAAAGGTGACTCTAACTGAAGTATTATCAGTATATGAGTATTTGTGGTCTTAGTTTTCTTCACTATCTGTCTGCAAAGTTTATGCATTTACTTGAGGATGCAAATATGAAGAGTCATGTAAACAAGTATGGAGATAAATGTTAAGGGCAGCCTTCAATCTTTAAACCAAGTATAAAGCTCTTTCAAATTTACAGTGTAATATAGTTCCTTCTAATTATATGTTTATTAAATACCTTCAATAAGCAGTTGATGGGTCAGAAATCTGCTTTTGTTGAGATTTTGCTTGCTGATGATACAAATGAAAACAGTGTGGACCATTTTGCCATTCTCCTAAAAACACAATGAAGCTTGCAGCCAGGCTCTCACAGCGACTTTTAGTTGGATTTGGGTTTTAACTCCTAATGTCTATCAGCAATAAAGGAAAACTAGAGCAGAACATTTCCGAGGATATTAGGGGATTTAATGAACAAGAATAGCATTTAAAGGAAGAGGGGGAAAGAGGAGCGAAGATGAACTTTCCTATGCTTTTCCCTGTGAGAAGCACCCTTGTAATTATGCATGTATCTTAATTAAAATCGCATATTCATGTTTTACATTTTCAGTTGGCCTTGTATAATTAAAACTGCATCACATCTGATGTATCTATAATTATAGCCAAATGGTTATGTTAATGTTCATCTATTCCATGCTAAAAACCAACAAAAACCCACTAAGAACATTTCTTTAAACTGTTTCTATCAGAAATTCAATCTCCAGATATAAAAGCTCAATGACCATGTGTCTTGAAAATAAAATATCTTTGAGATCAACAGTCACAGCTTTAAGTGTGAGATCCAAAAGTCCTGGTGCTTGCAAAAGCATAACCCAAACTGCTTTTAAGAGATAATCTATAGAGGAAAAAAATAAAATGAATCATAGAAGGTCTAATTAAGGTCTTATAGGAGATTTCTCACTAACTTAAAGGAATTAACAGGAGACAATCATATCTCCTCAGGCTATAATCTTTGAGCTTTAAATCCCCAAATCTTTCCATTAAAAAAAATTCTTGTATTACAAGATCAGTGCTGAATGTAAAAACCATGACCAAATTGAATGCCTATTATTAAATCTTTACTGAGAAATCCTTTCCTAACTTTTTCCAATAAAAGAATCACAAAAATGAAAGCACTTCAAAATATAAAGGTTTTGTGTTGGAAATAGTAACACTTTACTTTGGACCTTAGGCTGTTTGGGGGGATTTTCAGGTGGGAGATCACCTGGGCAAACATTCAGCACCTAGATATTCTTGTGGATTGAACTGTGTCCCCGCAAAATGATATAGAATGTAGGAATCCTAACCTCTGGAATCTCAGAATGTGGCCTTATTTGGAAATAGGATCATTAAAGTGTAATTAGTTAAATTAAGATAACGTCGTACTGGAGTAATGTGGGCTCTTAATCCAATATGACTGGTGTCTTTATAAGAAGAAGGAAATTTGGACAAAGAGACATCCAGGGAGAAGGCCATGTGAAGACGGAGGAGAGCTTTCAATGAGGAATCTGTAAGCCGAGGAATGCCAGGGATTGCCAGCCACCACCAGAGCTAGGAGAGAAGCACAAGACAGATTCTCCCTCAGAGCCGCCACTAGAAACCAAGCCTGTCGCCACCTTGATTTCAGACATCTGGCCTCCAGAACTGTGAGAGAATAGATTTCTGTTGTTTTAAGCCACCCAGTTTGTGGTACTTTGTTAGGACAGCCCTAGGAAACTAATACAGATATCTACACAACTTGGAAGCTTGTCTTACCAGAATTTCAACTTGTATCCACATCCTACAAGCTGCATTAACCAACATTTTGCTTTCCTATAAATTCAAGAAAGAGTCTTGGGTTCTGGAAACCTTAGAAGCCACCTTTCTTTCCTTAGTTCTCCAGGAAACAGGCAAGAGGAAAATGTTCTCCCTGCACAGTTTATCCTCCAGTATTAAAATCACTCGCGGTACCTGCCTGAAAGGTCTCTAGGTTTGAACCCCAGGAGCCGAGACCTGGCGTTTGAGGCAGCGTAGCTGGTGTCACTCTCCCTCACACCGGAGGCCATAAGGTAGAGCCACTCGACAGAGTAATGAACCTAAGTGTCTGGCTGCCTTTCAGGCTCACACGTCAAGTCTGAGGGAAACTCTCTTGTGAACTGGTAAAGAGAACAAAGAAAAGAAAATCTTTAAAATGAGTACCTGCTCACAGACACTGATGCAGAAACATTTTAGACTAAGAAAGTGATTTGGAAACACAAACCCAAAAGAACCACACACCTTGAACTTACTACACACAGATCAACATGCCAATCGCTCAGCTGGGCATCAGCACCTCTTACATTCCAATAAATGTTCATAGATGTTTTTCTGTGGATACACAGAGGGGCTGAATGCACAAATCCACATTCCAACACAATCCTAAATAGGATGCACATAAACAGAGGCCTTGGGGAGAAGGTAGTAGGAATCATAGATTAAATTCTATAGCGTTTTTTATTTTACAGAGCATCTTTACATCTATTTCCTGGTTTACTTCTCATAACAGCTCTGTTAATTCCACTATTTTAGAGATGTAGGTAGTCAAAAAAATTAAATGACTTGACCATGGCACACAAAAAGTGTAACTCACATCAGGTCTTCCAACCCACATCTCCCGATACAAATTCCCAAGAGAGAGATTCTCATTGCCCAAGCTGATAAAGTGTCCAATCTGATTCAGTTGCCTGTAGCAGACTCTCTAGGCACAGGCTTACCTGATCTTCTTAAAATTGTTACGTGGTTCTGTTACTGTGACATCACTTTTTTTTTTTTTTTTTTTTTTTTTTTTACTTACTAGGTCACTGGTTTATTATAAAAAGATGTAACTCAAGAACAGCTAGATGGAAGAGATGCTTAGGGCAAGGGATGTGGGAAAGGGAGCAGAGCTTCCATGCCCTCTCCAGGCATGCCAGTCTCTCCAAATTTCCACATTTTCACTACTCTGTAACAAGTTCTGTAACACTACTTCTGATACTGTCCTTTGCAGGGAAATGTTTTCATCATCACCATCATCAACAAACAGCGTCTTTCCTTGCTCAAATGAGAAAGTTTTATATTAAATTGTTTTCTTCTCAAATTAAAATTCTAGGGATTATCTCACAGAACTGTTTCTGAAGAGAGGAACTGGGATTATGGATGGCCCTGGTCCTACCGTGATTCCAGATGTCACCTGGGGTATCAGAAACATAAGAGATCTACATGATTGTATTTGACTGTCCTATAGACCATCCTATAAACCAAGAGACTCAAACGTGATTGTTCACATACCCCATAAAATTATTCGGAAAAATAATGTACCCCTTTGCACACTTTCAAATCGACGTTTATACTTCTTTCTTCATAAGCTTAAACAGTTGTAAAGAGTGTGACTTCTAGCAGATTGTAAATGCTAAAATTTAAAAATTAAAGCTATAGCATCCTTTTAAATATATGCAATGAAATCTAAGTTGCATAATGGTTTGAAAGCCACCTGTCAGGAAGCAGTTACTTCTTCTTGTTGCTTCTGACCCTGGTGACAAAGGTACCCTACAGAAGGCAGGGCCCTTCATCACAGAAGAGAACAAACAAACCTGGCCCAAGAGTCAGAGAAGCTAAAAGAGGATCTAGGGGGAGGTGGAATACCTGCAGACCCAGGTGCTGCCTCACACCAACAAGATGAATTAGTAGATCAGGAACAATGTGCATGAAACACAAAATAGCTGTCGCTTCCCATCCTAACTAGAAACATACAGGAAAGAGAATCCTGAGAGACATAGTTCAGCGTAGGCAAGTAGACACATTCCAAAGTCATCACACCATAGCCCTTGCCAGGCACCAGGAGCCAGCCCAGACATGAAGCATATGCTGCCCGCTGTACCTGGAATAATGAAATCTTTTGTCTCTGACCCAGGAATCTTTTGTCTCCTACCAGCATCTATGAATGAAACTGTGGCAGGCTAACTTGTTAGCTTGCAGGGAAAGTAATATCTCAGACTCTTCATAGCTCTTGACACTACTATTATCAATTTAACAGAATATAAATGAGCTTTCTAAACTTTCAGAAATGTTTATATTTCCTTTCTTTTATTCATATTTCCATTACTTTTCCTTTAGATTTGAACCCTAATGTAAAAAAGTTTAATGCTTGGAAGTCTTTTATTGATCACATCATCACACTTTATTCAACAGAAGTATGTCATAGAAATTATGTTTTTAAAATTTGTTTCATTTCCTATGATTATTATGTCCTAAGTTTTAAAAATTCTTCCATATAATGTAATCATTAAAATTACTATTAGTAAACAGATCAAAAATGTAAATGTATTTCAAATTTGAATAAATAATAATCATTAAAAGAAAACTTTTATTGTAAATTAATCATCTATTAATGCAATACTGCTAAAATCAATCCATTCAGAAGCTACCATATATATTTTTATGTTAATAAGAAGTTGAAAATATTAAACATTTTATAGCATGAAGTAAGTTAAGACTGACTATACCTAGAATAAATATTTTATAATATGATATGATAAAATAATTTTTAATCATCTAATTGAGAAACACATCCTGAATCTAAAAGAAATGGCATAAAAGTTTTGCCCAAGGGTTTTATATAATGTATTCTAAAATTTTCGGTAGTTCTAGAAGCATTCTACTTACATTTAAAAGGTTCTGGAGAACTAACCTACTGTCAGGCTGTTCAAAGTTCTCTTCTTTCCAGCTAATAAAACAGACTAAGGATGAGTCCTAAAAATAGCTAAAGAGATGCTTCCAGTAAAATACATGAAAAAGGTCATTTTTAGCATTCATTATGTCTTAAAGTGCACTTTGCTTTTGCTCTCACAGAATCTTACGTTTTTTGGCAGAAGGAAAGGAATGTAGGAAATGAAGTCATTAAACAAAAATTGTCATAAGTCTCACTATTCCTGTATCTGAACCAGAACATCCCACCCTGGCCTAAAACACCGAATTTTACCCTCAATAGCCTAGTGATAGAGAAATACAGGAATCCTTACAGGTTTACTGACATTCATTAATATTTAAAGAGGGCCTCCCTCCCTTTGTTGGAAGCCCAAGAGGTTTGCACATTTTCAATCCTTGGATAAAATTTGGGAAGGGTTAGGGGCCTGATTCTGGCTTATCAACTGGAAGAAGGACTACCGTGAACTCAGGCAAGTTCTCCAGGAATGAGTTAGAGAAGAAAGGACCTATGGAATTTAAGGATCTAAACACTGATTCCCTGAAAATTTTCCATGGCCATATACCCCTTGAAAAACATATTCCAGTTGAAACCACTTCTATAAACGCCTTGAGCTTCTACCAAGAAGCTCCACCATTGGGCGATAAATCACAGGAGAATGAGAATAGTGGGATAGAATAGAAGAATAAAGCTAGCAAGAATGCAGCCATCTGAAGGGGTTAGGGGGTGGCTTTCATTTGGCCAAGGGCAGCGTGAGCTGTGAGGTCCAAGGCTCCCAGGAGGTGGAAGATGGGTATACCGGCTTGGTAAAGGGGTCTAGGTGGGGTCCCAATGGCGCCCACTGCACACTCACGCCCTGGGCTAAGGGCTGAGGATACAAACATAAGACCCAGCCCATGCCTTCCGGATGCACTCAAACACAGGATATATACATGTAGATAAATAATTCCTCTTTGATCTTTTTTTTTGTAGAATAGTGCCCTTTCTGTCCTGTTCTTTGAGAACATGAGTGTATCTTTTATTTCATTCAATAAACATTTGTCTGCCCACAAACAGCCAGGCACTCTGCTCAGAGCTAGGAAAAAGATTAGAAGGGAAAGCAGGTGTAAGAAGGAATCAGGGCAGCATCCCTGTCTCAAGGAATCTTTACCATCCCCCTACCTGGCACAGTGTTCATGCCTAACCAACATTTATCAACCCTTGTTTACATGTTTACTCATTTTTTCCTACATATTTTTTATTGTGGTAAAATATATATAGCATAAAACTTACCACTTTAGCCATTTTTAGGTGTACGATTCTTGCTTACTCCTTCGAAAAGCAGTGCTCTCTTCTACCAAGAGCTGGACACTTACCATGCTAATAACTGGAGTCAGATGACCCTGCCTTTTGAGCTTTGGGGGAAAAAATCCCTTAGGCTCTGGAATTCTTACTGCAAAATGAGTTTTCTGCCATGCTACCAGTTATGATTTTTTGGTACAAGTATCTCAGGCATTCAGCGTGTCCATGTGCAGAGGGGAAAAATTAAATTGCCCTTCACTGGGCTAACAACATCGTCACTGCATTCTGATCCTCTAATCTCCACACGCGCTATCATCACAACGGATGGGGTTTCTGTTTGCTGAAAGAATATAAATAATTAAAATCCTTCAGGGAGAAGATTTTTGTTTACAGGGCTACATTGTCATTCTTGTACCTGGCGGGAGTGTGACAAAATTACATGAGTTTATTAAAAAACAAAAATTGATGGTTCCAGCTCCGTTCCTCTGTCCCATGGAATGAGATCAAACAGCGGCTGCACAGAAGCCAGAGCTGTCAGTATTTAAAGTGCTGTCATTGGAATGAGTAGGGAAGCTAAATTTGGCGGAATGAGTTCTCAGATGCACAAGCTCCCCATCGTGCCCAGCACTTCCTGGACATCACCACCTCTTGGAGTTCAGATGTTCATGCCAGGAAATGTTGCCAAGCCCAACGTTAGCCCTTGTTGGATGTTCTGTTTCATCATTCCCTATTTATGATCCCCCACATTTCTTAAGGTAGAAGCTTACACTGCAGAAACAGTCTAAAGCATACCCCCTGCATACAGACTGATCTCCAGATTACCAGTGCAATTGCTGCCTTTGTATACTTATGGACTGACGTGATAACTGAAAATAACTTCCATTAGCACTATAAAAACTCCAGCTGATACCAAATGAAGTTCATTTGATACCAGCAGAGAAAAATATTGGCTGCTGAGATATTCTTTGTTCATGGTTATTTACAGTTAGCTCCAATCCATGTACAATTCAGCCAGCCAGAAGGCGCCAAATGATTTTCCTCACTCGAGGACCTTGTGTGGAAGAACTTCCACAAAAGACTGGCTCACCTTTATTTATTGAAACATAGGGACCATTCTTGTCGCACCTGGTCCACTACAATACATGCAAATGTCTAGCAATTAAATTCTTTGGAGTAAAAAAGATGTAAGCAGGTGTTTGAGAGACGGGTAGTACCTGGACTCTGACATTTTCCCTCCCCATCACCATCCTGTTTTGTAAATTTTGGAAATAATCAACTAAATGATCAGAGCATTCCCCCAAAACTCTGATTTGGGGCATTTTTAAAATGTAAATATTTCAAATGAACATGTATCACCACTAAGAATTAAGGGTGAATATTTTGTTATGTTCCCTTCAGAACTTATACATTTTTAAGAATCATCACAGATACCATTGAGGTCCCTCCTTTTGTACCCTCCCTCTCCAGGGGAAAGCATTGTCTTAAAGTTGTCTGTTCATGTTGTTATACTTTTAACACATATGCATGTATCATAAACAATTTTACAAGTCTTCAAATAATATATGTACCTATCTGTCTACAAATTGTCTTCTTCATTCAACATTACGGATTTTTAGATTCTTTGTTGTAAATATACATGCGGTTTACCATTTTAACAATTTTAAGTGTACAATTCAGTGACATTAGCCACATTCACAATGTTGTGTGACCATCACCAATATCTGTTTCCAAAACATTTTTGTCATCCCAAAGAGAAATTCTGTACCGACTAAATAATAATTCCCCATTTCTCCTTCCCCCCAGACCCTGGCCACCACCATTCTACTTTCTATCTCCATGAATTTACCTGCTCTAGGTAGTTTATATAAGTGGAATCATATGATATTTGTCCTTTAGTTCTGGCTTATTTCACTTAGCATCTCAACAGTATGTTTTTGAGGTCAACACATATTAATTCATACTGATCAAGGTCATTTATCTTAAATATTGTATAGTATTCCACTATATTAGAGACAATAACTTATCCGTAACTCTATAGATGGACATTTAAGTTTCAAATTTTTTTGCTGTGACAAAAGCAAAGTTGCAGTGAACAGGAATGATTCACTGGAAGTGGAAACACAGGTGGGTGAAACTTCAGCATTACCAGAGAGCTGCCAGGTTGCCCTGTATTGTCATTGAACTGACTTACAATCCTACCTCAGTGGATCCGAGGTCCCGTTTCCCCAAGTCCTTCCTTGCACTGACAGATTTTCATTTAATTTTTGACAGCATTATGGATGTGAAATGGTATATCATTTTTTAAATTGTCATTTTCCTAATTAGTAGTGAAGCTGAGCATCTTTTCATGTTTATTAACCATTTCATATGTTTCCTTTCATTTGAAATATCTGCTCATAACCTGTGTGCTCTTTTAGATTATTTTTTACTTCTTTATTGATTTCTGGAGGAGATAGATACATACACTCAAACATAGAGATACCTAGATTATATAGAGAGATATTCTGCATAATAATCATTTGACTGCTGTATAAACTTCAGATAACTTTGCTAAACATCCCTGTTATTTCTTTGTTTTCTAGTTCATTAATTTCTGATCCTATCGTTATTACATTTTCCCTTCTACTTTGGTTTACTCTGTTTTTCTTTGTCCATTTTCTTGATTTGGACACATTTTTTCCAGTTTTTCTTGTTTTCTAATTTGTGCATTTAAGGCTACAAATTTCTCCCTAGGTAAATTGCTTCAGCTCACCCACAAGCATTGACAGGTCGTATTTTAAAGTACTTTGTAATGTCCCTGTTGCTGAGTCCTTCCTTTTTATTTCCTTCAGTAGAGGCCTGGAGGCAGTAGTTTCTCTTCCTTTGTAGATCTGAGTATGCCTCAATTTGCCTTAACTCTCAGATGGTCAGGATGATTCATGTTCTCCCCCCGACCTCTTGAAGACAGTCTTCAGGCACCTCTTGTTGCTGCGGGGAAGTAGCTGTCAATCCATGTGCCACGTCTCTCTAAGTCATCAGTCTTCCCTCTCAGGTAGAGCATATGATGTTCTTTTTGTCTTTGATTCTTTACATGTTAATTTTGATGCATCTGGGCTGATTTATTTCATTACTCTTTTAGGACTTGGGTATTCCTTAAATCTGAGAACTCAATGTGGAATATTCTCCACCATCATGTCTCTCCTCCAACCTTTCCATTTTAGGGTAGTGAGTGATCTCTTCGTTATTTAGTAATGTATTGTTTAGCCTCCACGTGTTTCTGTTTTTTACATTTTTTTCCCCTGTAACTGATTTGATTACTATGTGCCTTGGGTCAAAAGAAATGAATGATGCCAGAAGTTAACTGCAATGAGTTTATTTGTATCTATACAAACACCCCACAAATTTACAAATAGAGTCCCAGGCAGGATAAACCCAAGGAGAAACATGCCAAGACACAAAGTAATCAAATTGACAAAAATTAAAGACAAAAAAAATTATTAAAAGCAACAAGGGAAAAACGACAAATAACATACAAGGGAACTCCCATAAGGTTAACAGCTGATTTCTCAGCAGAAACTCTAAAAGCCAGAAGGGAGTGGCACAATATATTTAAAGTGATGAAAGGGAAGAACCTACAACCAAGATTACTCTACCCGGTAAGGATCTCATTTAGATTCAACAGAGAAATCAAAAGCTTTACAGACAAGCAAAAGCTAAGAGAATTCAGCACTACTAAACCAGCTCTACAACAAATGCTAAAGGAACTTCTCTAAGTGGGAAACACAAGAGAAGAAAAGGACCTACAAAA